CCGGCCGATTGAAGTGGCTGGTGACTGCATTTGGGGAGCTTCCATCGTCTGAAAGAGACTGCCCTAAAGGCGAGGGGACACGGGTAGCCACGCCACGCCCTGAAGTGGCAGGGGACTCTGCCTTAAGGGAGCTTCTATTGGCTATCGGGGTATTCTAGCCTAGGCTACCTGCAGGGCACTCCTAAAGGCAAGTTTTCTCCCCACCCCCCCGCCCTTCCCCCGCCCATTTCTCTTCACCTCGTGTAGTTCTAACGAATGATGTGAGAAATGGCGGGGAAAAGCATGGTTTGAATAGGCCTAAATTTTGGGGGCGGGGCTTAATTTCACCTCATACCTAGAAATCATGCTGGGCCTTCCTATTGGTGGAGGCCGTATTGTTGGAGAAACACGGTAACAATTAGATTAATTTACCATAGGTATATCTGTAACTAATTTACTCATTCCTTGATTACCATACTACTGTTAAAATACAATACTTATTTATCTACATTACTTTACATATATACCTATAAATCATATATCATATTCTTCTTTGAAATTTCTTTCGTCATTTTCGCAAACATCTGTACTCCTTTTTCTTAACCATTTATACCATATATTCCATATCGTAAAGTACTCTTCTTCTTCCCTGTTCTTTAATAACATTGTTAGTCTAACCATTTCTTCGCATTGATGTATCTTGTTAATTACTACTAGATCTGTGGGCATCGTGGTATTTTAATCACTAGGCCATCGCGCCGTGTTGCTATAGAGCAGGGGTGTCAAACTGGTGGCCCACACGGGCTGGATGTGTCATGCGCCATGCCCTTCCCAGCTCCGTGACAGGGGAAAACGTTGCGATACATGACGTGACGGCAACGTGATGCAGCGAGTTTGACAGCTGTGCTATAGAGGCACATGGCTCATTTTAAGAGCAGGAAAACAACGTTCTTTCTCTATGGCTGCTTCTGTCCAGAACTGCAAGATCATAACCTGGTGCCCGTCAAGACTAGGAGCAGAGAAGACAGATGGGCCATCAAGCTGCTTAACGTCCTCCTGACCATAACTAATCTACGAGAAGGTGGGTACGCTGGTCGTGGAACGCTCCCCACGCCCCTCAGGATGGCAAAGGTGCTTATATGTGGTTTTCTCCCTGGCAGGTCAGCGTGTGCGGGAATGTCCCGTCTTTGGCGTATTAGAAGGTGTTTTCGTGTTTGGGGTTATTGATCAGCTGAATTATACGGCTAAAGGAGAATTGCAACTGAATGAATTGAAGACAAGGGAAAAGGCCTACATGCCTGTACCTGCGCAGAAGAAGAAGGACCGTTTCCAGGTGGGTCAGGGTGAGATTGGAGGCCTTAGGTTGGCTGTCTTGGAATCCGGATACAGGGAGGGAATTAGCTGCATTCACACCATGGATTCAGTAGGGTCAGTAAAAGACCTAAGAGCTGCATTCATACTTAAGTTGGGAAGGAACTTAGAAGGTTCCTTCCTGTGAGGGGTTGCTACAGAGAGGCGGGGGAGGTCAAGCTATTTTCCAAGGCACCCGAAGGCCAGACAAGGAATAATGGATGGAAACTGAACAAGGAGAGATTCAACCTGGAAATAAGGAGAAACTTTCTGACAGTAGAACAGACGTTGCCTTCAGAGGTTGTGGGAGATTCATCCCTGGAGGCTTTCAAGAAGAGGTTGGACTCCCATCTGTCAAAAACGGTGTAGTGTCTCCCGCTTGGGCGGGGGGTTGGACTAGATGACCTACAAGGTCCCTTCCAACTCTGATTATCTGTTAAGTCATCTAATCCAGGGGTCCCCAACCTCCGGACCAAGGCCTATTTGTAACCGGGTCACACAAGCAGCAGGCCGGCATATATGACTGTCTGTGCACACACACAGAGCTTGACTTGCACGCGTGTTGGGCCATCATGCAAGCCCAACTGAACATGGGCAGGCCCGCCCCTCACGTGGACTGGTTTGCCTCTCTCCTACACCCCCCCACCCCCAGCCAGGCCACCAAGCCACAAGTTGGGGGCTGCTGATCTAATCCACCTACCAGCTCAATGCAGGAGCCACTAGATCAGTGTTTTTCAAATTTGGCCACTTTTAAGATGGGTGGGCTTCCAACTCCCAAAATCCACCCAGCCAGCATGCTGGCTGGGGAAATCTGGGTGTTGAAGTCCACACTTCTTAAAAGTGAAGGGGAATTTAACCCTTCGTACGAGAGCCCTTTCCATCAGCCGGCAGTTCATAAAGTCAGATTTCTTCTGCAGTCTGACTTGACTTTCTGGTCCTGCCTTCTGAAACAAAAGAAAATAAGCTCATTTTTTTGCCCACATGACAGTCCATCTTAGATTTGAAGACTACGGTGCTATTATCTCCAAAACTAGATCCCATACTCCAAACAGAGTCTGGCCAGGGAGAAATCACACGGGGCAAATTACTTTTCAAGATCTGAATTCTCTGTGTTAATTGCCTCCCATCCCTGATAGTATTTGATACCCGCTGTATCACATGGCTGGCTCAGATTTAATGTGGGGGCCAGCAGAGATAGCCCAATCTTTTTCATAGCTGGTCTATTTTAATCATGGTTGCTTAGAACTGAAGAGTACATGTTGGAAATGTTATCAGATTTTATTTGAAGTCAACAGTAGTAAATGCACCAAAGGATCCTGGGATTTAGACTTAGAGGAACCAATAAATAATTATTTTGGCAGTCTGAAGGATAGCATGAGACAGTGGTCGGCAACCAGTGGGTCGGGGACCACTGGTGCTCCGCGAGAAAATTTTGGTGGTCCACAGAGAAATGTGACCTCCAAAGCACACCCCAAAGTAATTAATCCAGGCTGTGCGGGAACACAAGGCTTGCGTCGCTTGCATTGCGAACAACAGGATGTAGTGAGGGGAGGGGGGGAAAGGGCAGATGGGGGAACTTGCCCCACTCGCCCCAGGAGCCTGGCCTGGCCACAGTGCTGCTTATTCCCACTTCTTTCTTCTTCTGCTTTTGGCTGCACGCAAGGAAAGCAGCAAAAGTCTTTCTTTCTTTCCCCCAAACTCCGCCAGAGATGAGTCTTTGGGACCCTGCAAGGCATCCCTGCTCCAAGAGGCTCTGCTGGCATGACAAATCTTACAAAGACTCATTTCTGGCGGAATTTGGGGGAGAGAAAGAAAGCCTTCTGCTGCTGTCTTTGCAGGAAGCCATCTTTCATGAAGTCTCTCCCTCCGCCCCCCCCTTGAGAACAGAGCTGGAGACGGTATCCTGAGACCCCAAATAAAGAATGATCGATCGATAGGAAAACAAAGTGGAGAATTTTCCTGCAGACTTTTTGGGGGATTTTCCCAGGGTTTCTGGCCCGTGGGATTTAAAATTATGAGTTTGGTGGTCCCTGAGGTCCAAAAG